TGATATAGAATCATTAATTACGTATACAAACCTTATAAAAAACGTATCATTTCCTTATTTCGATTTCTTATAGGGACATTGTTTTATTAAAATAATAGAAAGAATAATGATAAATAATATTATTCTAAATGAACAATAGAAGAATCATTCTAATAGAATAATAAATCATTATTTTAAAGGAATGATAGAAAGAATTATTCTAATAGAACAATAAAATATTATTTTAAAGGAATAATAGAAGAATTGTTCTAATAGAATGATTAAACATTATTTTATTAGAATGATAGAAAGATTTATTCTAATAAAATGATAAATAACATTATTTTAAAAGAATGATAGAAAAATAGTTCTAATAGAACAATAAAAAGGATCATTCTAAAGAAATGATAAATAAAGTTATTCTGATAGAACAATAATGCATTATTCTAAAGAAATAATAGAAGAATCATTCTAATGCATTATTTTAAAGAAATAATAGAAGAATCATTCTAATAGAATAATAAAAAGAATTATTTCAAAAAAATAATAAAAGAATAAAATAATAAATATTTGTTCTAAAGGAATGATAAAAGAAAAGTTCTGATAGAATAATTAAATATCATGTTATTAAAATGATAGAAAGAATGATTTTAATAGAATGATATACTATATAGTTCTATCAGAATGATTGTTTCTATAAAATGATGATTTATTGTTTTATCAGAACGAAACTTCTATTATTCTTTTAGAACTATATATATCATTTTATCTAAACGATTTTTTTATACTTTCTTTAAAAAAAATTTGTTAAATTTTTACTTAAGTTCAACTTGACTTTGAGCTTGAGACTTTGTACTTGAGTTTATGCTTGAGTTTTGCTCAACTTTAGGCTTGAGTTTAGCTCGAGTTATCTTGAATTGAGTTAAGCTTAACTTGAAACTCAACTCAAGTTAAACGAGTCAAATTTTTTATGACTTGACTTGACTTAGCTCATTCAGAACTCTAACAATTATAACCTATCCTAAGTTACTAAAGATTCTTTATTATAATTATATTAAAGAATCTTTAGCAACTCTATTTTTTAATTATATAGATGCTTTATAGTAAAAAGGTATAAAACTCTAAAAATTAAATTTTTATTTAATAAGTTAAATATGAATTTTTTTTAGTAAAATAAGTTAAGATTTAACATTAACTCAAAGAAAAATTTTTTGTATTTTTCTACTGCAAAACATCCATATTAACTTAAAATTATAAAATATTTAAATATAATATAAGAAAAATAATTATATATGTGATATAAAAAGTTATAAAAGAAATAATAAAAATATAAAATAAATATTTTTTAAAAAATTATAATAAAATAATAAAATTAAATAAATCAAAAAATTTTTATATTAAAATATTATTTTTATAACTTACAGTAAATAAAAATCTCAATCATATAAAAAAGTTTTAAATTTAATTTTAATTATTAGAAAATTATATTTTAATCTAATAATTTTAATAAAAATGAATCTAACAAATGTTAAGCATGTGATTTAATATTTTGACCAATCAAATTTTATTTGAATGATTACGTAATAAATCAAAAACTTCCGACAATCGAACCTCGGTACTTCTTTCGAAGAAAAGCACTCATCTCTTGTTTATGCCTATATGATACCAAATTTTCATTTCAATTTTTTTATGTTCCTTTATTCGATCAATCACGTTGATTGTTCTCTTTCGAAGAGAAAATAGGCAAATATGGAACTTTGGAAAGTAAAGCATCTTTTTGGATAAGAATTCTCGGGTAGGAAGGTATTCCATTTCTTTATTTACCTTTTTTTTGTTGGCATTACAGATGTTACGTGGGTTGCGTAGTATGCTCATCTTTGGATAAGCCCGTAGGTACCCAGTCTATCTGGCAGTCTCCGGTAGAGCTGAACGAGGGAGTGAGCATAGACACTTTTCCAAGCCTGTGAGTATCAGCTTCCGCTGTAGTCTCCAGTAGGGCCGAAGTACCTAAAGAGAGAAATCCATATTGGTATTTCAACAAAAATTTTAAGTGCGAGATCAAACAACTTTTAAAAAAAGTCCATTTATTTTTTTTTTTACCCGCGATCAAATTTACGATAAACAGGAATGCTTTATCAGTTCGCCGAGCCACAAAACACTAATGCAATTTTTAATACTGGTAATACAGATTGGGAATATTATGTAATAATTATATAATAAATATTTCTTTTAAATTTATTAAAATTAAATTTATTGAATTAATGAATGTTACTGATTTTGTAAGTTACAAATTATGAAGTTAAATCTTTATTATAATTTTTAGAATGACAAAAGTGTCAATCATTGAAATGCCCAAATTTATCGTTATTAATAAAAAAATTTTTTTTTTGCATAATCAATAGTGACAATTCACAATCAAATTAGTTGATACCCGATGCATTAGGTTTAGCTCCTTTGTATTAATTTAGAAGAGAGAAATCTTCATTGAACAATACATTTTCTTCTTTTCGTTTTCCTAAATAAAAAAGATTTAATGCTAAATCCGAGCACATCTCATCTGAAAAATTACTTTTTTTTATCAAGGAGAAATAGATGTCTTAAAATAATCAAAGTCGTACAAGCAATTGTCATTATTTAAAGTAAGAATATGCACGTACCATGATAACCATGATTTGACATTCATATTTATATATTTTTTTATTTACTTTATTTTTCACACGCATTAAATTAACTTTTTTAATCGATATTTTTGGCTTAAAAACTTCTATTATTACATGCTCTTGCAGTTTTGCACACCAGATAACGGAATCCATCCGAAATTTTTTCCTTATCTTTCAATGAAATTTGTCAACATTATTTATTAATGCTGTGCGATTTTAAAAATTTTTCAGGTCAAAATATATAGCTTTTTTTTTTTTTTGCTAAATTTACCATTATATAATTAAAGTAAACACGAATATGTCTTGTAAAATTAACGAAACGGATTCATATAGATATAGAAATCACATAAACGCATGGAATCCGAATTTATGTGGTATTTTCTTGATTTGTTATGATAAAGAGATAGTATTAAAATGACAATAATGAATATAAACTTTAAATTTTTTAAATTGTTTTTGTCCCCTTTCTTTTTTCCCTTTCTTTTTTTTTTTTTTTTCTTTTTATAATAAAAAAATTTAAATAAAATTTCACTAATGTATCCAAAGAATTTAAGTAAAATTTTCACAATGGATCCATTGGAGAACCATTCAAGATACAGCTTTATATTGATAATTACAAAAATTTTATTCATCTTTATCATAATTTGGAACCTTGCAACTTATTTTGTATTAGAAAATGATAAATTCGCTAGTTATGAGATTGATGATATAAACACAAGTTTTAATTTAAATGTAATTATGAATTATAAAAAATTTTGACATTTTTTTTTTTTTTTTTTTATTGTATTCCTATTGATTTCATATTTTTTTCATTTTCATTTTCTTTCGTTATTAGAATTCGGATAAGTTGATAAATCAAAAATATTGCGGATCAAACGAATGTAAATTCTTATTCGCACATCGAATACCAGAACAAGAATCACAAGCGAATACACATTTTTTTTCATTTATAGAATTAGCAGAAATGCTAAATAGAACAATGGTATTGGTTAATGTACAAAATTCTAGAATAGGTGCTTGTTTAAACCTTCCATATGATTTCTATTATAATGTAGAAGAATTAAAAAAGTTATTTCCCAATGTGAATTTTATCACGCAAGATGATTTTCTTTCTTGGACAAAAGAACGTCATGAAAAGCCTGATGTTGTATTAAGAAGGATTCAACAAGGTGGGGAGCCAAATACGATTATTAGTAACGTTGGTCTACAAGAATGGGGTAACGTAATCAACAATCAATGTCTTGAGAAATTTGATTTTAAATTTGACAATCAAAACGTTTCTCTTTACAAAAAAATACAAATTGGACCAAAGAAATATTGGAGGAAAAATAATGAAGCCATGACAAAATTCATATTTTCAAATTTAGAACATATCAATGAAGAAGTTTTATTAATACATCCTAATGAAGTCGGGGGTGCTTTATTCCCTTCAAAAGGTGAAATTATACCCTTACCTTATGCTGCTCATATGATCGAAGCAGCGAAAAACGTAACGAATCATTTGAAGCCTTATATAGGAATTCATTGGAGACAAGAGACAATTAAACCGAGAGTGTTACCAAATTGCGCTAAAGGATTAATTAAATATATTAATGAGCTAAAATTAAAAACTGGAATAGAGAATATTTATTACGCGACGGATTATCCATTATATAATGGAACTCAATCATCCACTTTTCATGTATTAGCTCGAGAACATCATGAGTCTATGAGAATGTTAAATTCTGCTTTTACTTTAAACACTTGGGTATCATTAAAGGCTCTTGATGGTTTATATGACATCTTCCCTCAATTTAAAAAGTACATCACTGAAGAATTAAATGGATCTGGCATACAAGGGATACTTGATAAGTTGGTTTTGATTGATGCTGATTACTTTATAATAGGTCCACATGGTTGTGCCAGAACTTCAAGTAATTTTACAAAAAAAGTTTATTTGGCAAGAAAATTATTATTGGAATCTGGTAACAAGGATATTCACAATGATATTGATCATTGGTAGTGAAGAATTTTGACATGACAACCAATCAAAAGATGCCGATTTTCATCATGTAATTAAAATTTTATTATAAATGATGTTTTATAACAAATTTACAATATTTAAATTTTTTTACTTGTAATATTAATAATAAAAATTATGAATAATTATAATAAGCTCCAAATAATCTACCTGCATTACTATTATTTATCTCAAAATATAATCTCATGGCTTCTCTCATTTCCATAAACAATTGTGTAATTAACATATCTTGTTGCATCATTAACGGTGGATCATCGAACATTGATCTTGCTTGTTTTATTTTATGATGAAATTCACTATTCTCTTCTTCATTCTATATAAAAAATAAGATAAGATTATTTTTTATTTTTATTAATATAATAATTTGCTGTTGACTTATTAAAAATAATCATTCGTTACCTCATCAATGAGACTATCTAATAGCATACACCATTCTTGAGAATATAACATAACAATATCACTACCAATTAAATGGAGAAATGTTATCAAGTCCATAAACATCTCCCAATAAGGAATTCCGTTAGGCTAATAAAAAAAATAAATGAATGAATGTAGAATTATACTAAAAATAAAATAAAAAAAGTTTTCTTACAAGAATATTTTTCTCATCAGTAACACTAATCAATTGTTTTCTAATATTGGGCCAAATAAAATTCCAAAATCTTCTTTCAGACATTGTTAAATTAGTAACTAATCTTTGATGTATTCTAGGTGCTCCGTTAACTTTACTTTTCTCTCTCGGTTCAGAATTTTGTGAACAAAGCATCGTCCAAATTTTTACTAAAACAAATGATTGATAAGCCAATTCTCCTGATGTTGTATATAGATAATTTACATCCCCTGTTTCCAATTCATTAAATGGTGATTTAAGTGCGATTGACAATAAATCTGTAATATTATCTTGAAAATCGAATATTGTTGAAATTAATCCTGCTGAAGAATCCGCTTTTAAAATTCCCAATAAAATCCAATTTAATAATCGAATTGTGCGTCTAGAGTCCGTTTGCTATAAATGATAGTTGAGGTGGAAAAAAATAAATCGTCAAGTATTTTTTTTTTTTTCCTTTGTTAGAAATTAAAATAAATTAAGTACCTTTTGCCATAAAAAAATTTTTGTCAATAAATCATATTTTTGACTACACATGGCAACGGCTAATTGACTTGCACATACTCCAACTTTAAAATCTTGTTTCGAATATTGTTTTATTATAGGGGGATTTTCTAAGAAAGTTATACAATCTTCAAATAAAAATTCCGAAACATTTGAAAAAAAAGGTTTGCGTGGTTGATTTGTAAAATTAAGTTTAATTCTTTGTTCGATATTTTTAAACCATAAATGTGCTGATGGTTGCATATCCCATAATACAAGCTACAAGAAATAATCAAATGAGCAAAAATTTCTTTAAAATCATATATTCTTATACATACTTAACTTACATACCTGTAATAAGATTATTAAAGTATCTCGATTCAATCTGTTTCTGGCTCCCTTATAAAATGTCTTTATTTCATCAAGTAACACTTCACCAAACACATTTATTGTTTCGGATGGGGAGACTTCAATTATCGCATTATAAGCTGCCAAAACTTTTACAAATGATTCTATTGTAGGTCCACATTTACTAATTACGTGTTTCAAGAAGTTTTTTACAGGATGAATCAAATGCTATTTTTTTTTTTAAAAAAAAAAAACAAAAAAAAAATTGTAATTAAAAAGCATTTAAAAAATTTTTTTTTTTTTTACAAAAAATAATTATCTTCACCTTTGCATAGAACAGATTATCCTTAATTATAATTGAAATCATATTAAGTATAGGATTAACATCCCAGTCAACACGCTTCCATTCAGTAGTATATTTAGTCAATTTTGTTAAAAATGTTCCCAAATCTAAATAAAAAATAAAAAATAGCTTAAACAATCAATCTTTAAAAGCCAAATTTATTTAAATAAAAATTTTGATTTTAACCTATCATTAATTGTTCACTATAAGGCTTCGAATAAACCAATTCAACGTATCTATTCAAGTTATACAATATAGTCGAGACAATTTTACTATTTGTAAATTTAAATAATTGATTTATAACATCTCTTATTGGCTCGACACGAAGATAGGCTGGTTCAGCATTTTCATCTTCTGATGGAATAACTTCATCTCTTATTATTTCACGTAATACTCGAAACATATCAAGTTCAGTATTAGTTTCGTCGGCAACGCTTTGATTCTGTTAGAAACAAAATTTCAATTAGATATAATATATAAAAAAAAATTTCATTGATGAGGTTACCTTAAAAATTAAAACAAATAATCCGTTTCTTGCAAAACTTAAAAAGGCAGTTCGTAAAAATATCTTTGCACTCATAACCAAAGAACTTGATGAGTCATTTCCTAAGTTTGTCAATAACTTTCCCAATGTAATAATATATTTTCCTAATATGTTAACTGTTAACATTGGAGCTCTTTTTAATAAGGTGGTGGAAACCTCTATAATAAGTTGTTTGTTTTCTTCTGTTATATCTTTGGATAGTAATTCAGAAGATTTCCTCATAGCACTCACTAAATGTTCTTCTAATTGATTATTACGCTTCTCCTCAATCTTATGCTAAATTATTAAAAAGGTTAATTTCAATAATACTTTACGAAGTGGATATTAAATAAAAACATTCACCTTATAAACAATTATAAGTAATAATTCAATCCAACTTTTAAGCATAAGATGACTTAAAGTTGACATATCCACTGAAGAATAAAATAACCCTAAAACGACATCTACAAAATATACTCCTGCTAATTCTTCTTCCTGTTCTGGTTCGGCATTATTTGATGCCTTTAAATAAATTGGTGCATCCAATACTCTCTTAAGATTTCCTAAACATGATATCATCATCATATTTTGTGTAAAATCATCGGGAATATATTCAAAATCTCCAATTGAAGTTAAATTAAGCTTTCCATTAACAAATTCATATTTAACATTTTTAAACCCTAAATGAGTTACCACCAAATATTTTAAAGTTGTTATTTGTTCTTGAGTCATTTCAATGCCATTTGCTAACATCTGCAGGGCAAGCGTTAGCATTATAACCTAAAAAAGGGAACAAGTAAATCACATTATAAAATCAAATAATAATAATAATAATAAATAAATAAATAAGTAACTTTCTTACCTTCAAATTTTGTAATTCAGCAACTCTTTGTCCTGGAGTCGAATTTCCATCATCTTGAACTTGTTGTTTCAATCCTATAACCAAAATACTATCTGGTCTCATATAACTTTCCTATTAAATAAATAAATGTTCATTGTATTATTGAACAATAATTATGATATTTAAAAATGAATTCCTTTTACCAAAATATCAACAGTAGAAACTTGTTCAGCTTCATCATTTTCTTGAGTTAAAGCATCTAATAAAATCTTCCATTCAATAACTATAATATATTTGCAACATAGTTAATATAAAATAATTAATTATATTAAAGATAACAAATAATATATAACCTTCCCAATCCGGAAACCTTGCATTCAACTTAATCATTAATTTACACAATAATGTCTTCTCACGAATACTTGCTGTAAAAAAATATCCTTCCCAACATTTAAAAGCTAAACGCACGTGTCGCGGTTGCAAAGATCTTATATAACTTATAGCCTTTGTCCTAACAAATTCCTATGAATAAAAATTAAATTATTGGAAGACTTAGAGTTTCAGATACGCTGATATTAAAGTGATTTACCTCTTCATCCCATAAGCATCCAACCAAGTAACTAAATATTGGTCCTAAATATGTGAAAACTCCGGCTCTTTGTATTTCATGTCTTTCTTCCAACTTAGAAAACAGCCCATACAAGTTATCAAGACCATCGAATCTTTTAAATATAATATAACCTAAAATCAATAAATTCATACATTGAACAAAGATGTATATAATAAAATTTTTATTACCTAATTTCCCAACTAGAATGTTCGAATACTTTACTGACTGAAGCAAGAAAGAACCTAGAATCCGCCCAAACAATTCTCATCAAAAGTTGCAAAGTCATATCTGATGATATATCATATAATGGAGACAATTCCTCCCATACGCTATGACAATATAAAGTAATAGTTAATATAAAATATAAAATATCTTACTAAGTAAAAGATTTTTACCTTGGAAGAAGTTTAGGAATACAATTATTAATAAATTCATTTTTATTGAAGATTAAACCTGCCGAAGTATAAAATCTCCAAAACCCTTTCACTATATCTCCGCGAACTTCTAATTTTTCGAATCTAGCATACTTCAACAAGCATAACATTAAAGGATTATCGGCAGTAATATTAGATCCAGGAGTTGAGTCCTTAAGACTAGATAATCTTTTATGTTGACTAATATACCGTTATATCGTCATTATAAGGGTAAAGTATAAGAATGCTAGTTAATATAACAAAATATGCAATTACCTTAAAATAAATGTCTTTGCTGGTAGCGAATCAAATATTCCGATGTTATATATCATTTCCAATGGGCAATTATAAGAATATAAAGACAATGCAAGCGTAGCTTTGATAAAAGATCTCGCACTTTAAATTAGTGAAATAAGGTTAGTAATATGTTATGGACATTTCTAAAGGAATTTTGTTTATTTATATAAAAAATTATACCTAGCAATTTCTGTACCGTATCCCCCTTCATTTATCTTTTGGATCTTTTCAAAGGATAAATCATTAACATCTGAAATAATTTTTTGAATGTTGCTTCGTACAAGAAGCTGCCCAAGACCATTCATAACTTGATACCACATAACCTCCATAAATGTAACGTATTGTTCGATAGATGGCGTAAGATTTGCCAGATATGGAAGGAAATCAGAGAATATTGAACCTGAAAGGCCAACACTAAAAAAAATGAAAATACAATATTAATAACTAAATTATATGTGATACAAAATTATTCAATAAAGTAAAGATTAATAATCCTTACCCGGAACGAACCATCACTTCCATCCATTGCAATGCTCGGGTTATTTCAACGGCATCTCCTTCTTTGAAAAGCTGTGTTAATAATGAAATGGGATCTGTTATATCGCCATGGTAATTTTCGGTTGACAAAAGAATTTGATCCGTAGTACTAAAGCGCTGCATTGATTTTGACACGTTAAAGATTTTGTATAAAGTTTTCATTTCCACAAAAATCTTTCAATAAATATAATTATCATTAGTGTTATTATGTTAAAAGTACAAGAAAAAGATAAAATTTTTTGATTTCTTACATTGGATTGATGTTTCATTATATGATAAACGTCATCTAACCATCGAGCAATCATGTCATTAAACGCAGAAAAAAGTAGCCCGGCATGCCATAATCTAATCATAAATTTTAATATACGATCATGACTTTGAAGTTCAGTTTCCTATGATTAACATAATTATTTAATAAAATGAAAATGATATTTTACAGAAATAAGCCTTTTTATACATACATTTACTGCATCCTCTTCATCGTTGTTTTCATGCAACATTTCTATTTGGTCAAAAACGATATCACAAAACAAACCCTGATTCATATCATGAATTGCAGACATCCAGTTCACTATATATTTTTCTCTTAACATTTTACGACATATGATATAAGCACCACCACCAGCAGAACTAGGTGCCAATGATGATGTTCTTTGAGTTGCACATCCCCTTTTATCCTCTATTTCATCACGAACTCCAGGAAGTCTGAGATGAGATGGAGTATATTCACGTGCAATTATAAGTAGCTTATCATCTTCATCACATACCCATTTGATTACAGCATACATTAATCTTTCTAATACGTATCTTGACAAAAATGAATCTGGCCAACAACGTCTTGTCATCAATAATAATCCACATTCATTTGTTGAAATGCTAATATCCGATAAGCATGCGCTAATTGCGGTTATTAAAGACTCTACCGTTGGAGAACATTCAATAACAAACGGTAAAGGAAATGTAACATCATAGTCCAACTGCTTTCCTTCAGATTCATCATAAAATAATATTGGATGCCCATCAATATGTTCCAAAAATCCATAGTTGACCATTTGCTGCAAGAAAACCTTTGAAGCATAAGAACTATGAAATCCAAGGTTTTTTCGCAACCATTTCATAATTTCCTTTATGGTCAAAATCCCTGTAGAATTATAAGAATATTCCGGTGAAGACGCTGTTAAAGTAGCTGCAGTATAAACGCTTAAGTGACGATCTACAAATTCGGATTCCGAATCATCCGAATTTTTCATAATAGATGCTAAATGTGCAAGATAATCCTCGCAAGAAATTAACCATAAAGGAGGATTTTTACCAATGCCTTCCCAATATTCACTTGATATTACCGATAATGATACCTTTCTCCCTCCGAGATATGATCTATAAAGTTCAAAAAACTCTTGCAACTCATAAAAATTTTCAAATGGTTCTGTTATTGGGGTAAGAGGATTATGGTATTTTGGTTTGATAATCAAACATCCAGCCATAATTCCATTACGCAATATATTCTCTTGCATTTGTAAAATTGTCATCATTATGGATAATTCTTCAAAGCTATAATTAGAAATATTTTCTTCGGGTATCAAGATATTCTCGTAATAAGTTTTAAAACTAAGACTAAGCATTTCGCGTTCAATCAATGCATCATCTTCATTCATGGGCGAAAACTGACAAGTGAATTGTTTTTTCAATTCGTTAGATTTCATACATCGATGATGTATAAATTTATTGCAAGATTCACACCGATAACCTTGATTCATCACACCCCATAAAGGCATTCGACAAACTATACATAATACCAAAGTAAAAAAATTTGCGAGGCGAAAAGCGTGTCCAGCAACAATCTCAGAAACGATAGCAGTTTGAGAATTATTGTTTTTCGAAGGATCATTGTAAATAGCTTTTCTGGAACCATGAATTATATCACAATATCTTGGTGTTGATAACTTGTGTACTCCTGAATTTAACGAATATTCTTCCAAACATCCTCCATCAGTTAAATTATAACATGTAAAATGAACATTTAGTTTACAGCCACCACATCGTAAACCAAAATCAGATACCGGTTTAAAGCATTGAACACACGCATGTGGATGTTCAGTTGGTATAAATTGACCATGCATATCCACTATAGAAGCATGTTTAATTTCTTTGCTGTCTTGAGTGTCAAGAAAAATATGCGGCAAAAATTGATGATTATGAACATCTTTTAGAATGGATACTGAAACTTTCTTTGAATTTTTTTGAATATCATTTTTTTTCTCCTTAGTCGACAAATCATGCATATATCCAACACTTGGAAGAGCTTCTCCAATTGAAAGATGCCCAGTACTATTTCTCCAAAAGTAAAATAAAATAATTACAGCCTGATTACGACTAATTGTATCACCATGTGCAATAATTTCTATAACATCATTATAGAGGTCCGGCTTATTTTGAACCATAATTCCAATAGTTCGATGCATCTGATATAACGTTTCTAAAGAAGAATTCTCAACTGAAATAAATTGCATAATCGAATATAATAAAGGAGTAAACATTGAATCAATATAATAAGCATCAATTTCAAGATCTCCAGTATATGAAATAGAAAGTCTTCTTGATAACTTTCTAGCCGCACTCTGCCTACGATTGAAACTATGTTCATCATCTGATCTATCGGCATTAGATTTTAACAAATTTACCGAACGTGGTGAATGTGTTGCTGCTGATTCTTCCGAATTTATTGTTATGTTGATATATGATGAATTTTCAAATTCTAAGAAAAATATATAAATTTAATAGAGAAAATTAAAAAGTTTTTTAAAAAAAAGTTGAAATTCATTAAACCTGCCATTCATAGTGATCTTTTCGTTGGGTTTTCCATTGTACACAGCTGTTAAATCATCACTTATTAATTCCCTTTGACAAGCCATCAAATGTGGGATTAAGACATCATTATAAAATATTAATAGCCTTGCATGTAAGACATCATTAAAAAAATTAAACCCAGGTATCATTGCCATTCCCAATTCATACAGCCAACCCGGTGAATAAGGGTTTTGTTCAACTAATAAGTGAGCAACATCAAGTACAATTGAATGTAAAGAATGAGGTGGACGAAATGGCCTTGGTGTGATAACTTTATAACGACAGTCATTTTGAACAATATCATATAACACTTCTAATATGCGTTCAAGTATACCAAAACTTTTGTTTCGATTTGGTATATCGCGTCTAGTATGCGATGGTGACGGCGAACGAGATCGATTGGGTGAAGGTTCTCGCGAAGCATATGGTGATTCGGGTGGTGTAGCAGACATTCTAATAAAAAATATATTTTGCTTTAATAAACAACAAAATCGCGACGTAAAAGTTATATATCATACCAAATAAAGACTCGCCTATCACCAAAGTTAATTCCATCCATTTCACAAACCACTAATACATCTCTAAGATGAATTAACAAATCGCAAGTATCATCGGCATTAAATACATTATTATCTTCATTTAATGGCGAACCACTCAAATTTTGAAAAGGAGAAGGTGGTTTCTTCCTTTTCTTTAGCTTAATTAATATTTGGTTTATAAGTTTGCGAGTCTGTTCTATCTTAGGAAGTAATAAATTTCTTCCTCGTTTTGGAGACTTTGGTAAACTTAATGGACGTGAACGGCCAGAATTGTTAATTTCCATTATTTATTATAAGAACGTGAATCGCATGTTTTAATACAAAGATTTATATTTCTAATTCTGTTTGTGGTAAAGAAAATTTTCTCTACAACCGTGTTTTTGATGATTTAGTGGTGGTAAAAAATGAAATGATTGACACGTGTGTTCCAAAAACAGTCTTGGTTCAACTATTAAAATTTTTTATTAGATGATGAATTTGATTTTTTTTAAAATACATATTAGGTCATAATAGTGAAAAAATAGATTATTTCTAATTAAATATAAATAAAAGTAAATATAATCATAATATTTAAAATTTTATAATTATTAACTCTCAATCTTTAATAATATGAAAATCATAATTGAATGGATAAATATTTATCCGATGGAAATATTGCCGGGGTAAAGTAATTTTACATGAAGAGACATTCGAACAGGTCACATGAAAATTAATCTTTATTTCTTTTTACAATTATTATATTATTTTTCAGAAATATTGCCGACTTCTGGTTTTTAATTCCTAGTAGGAAGAAAACACTCATTTTTTTATATATATATTTTATTATTATAAAACACTATGGGCTTATGCTTATCTGCTGAGGAAAAAGAATCACGATTACGGAGTTATCAAATCGACAAACAGATTGAAGAGGATAGCCGAAGGTTCAAGAAAGAATGTAAAATTCTTCTGTTAGGTATATAACTCCTCTTGCTTATCTTGTTAGAAACACAAACGCAAGCAAAAGCCAAACTCGGTTTGAAAATTTTCTAACCACCTGTCAAAAGTTAGAGAAGGGTTATAGTGACCCAGTTAATTAATTTTCTCAGTCGGTTTTTTGGGGCAAACTGTAGCATTTAATTGCGCATTGTCATTTTACAGGTTCAGGAGAATCGGGAAAGTCAACGATAGTCAAGCAGATGAAAATAATACATCAAAATGGTTATACCAAAGATGAGTTAGCGCTTTACCGAATAACAGTTTACAAAAATCTTGTTGACTCGGCACAAGCCCTTGTTTATGCGATGAAAAAATTTCGAAAAGAACCTCGAATTCCTGAAAACAGAGTAAGTGACAATTTGTTTTAATATTAATCAATAATTGTATCATTAAAATTTATCATTATTTCTAAATTGTTACTATTAGGGATTTGCTGAAAAAATTTTGGATTATTATGTTGAATCCGACCCGGCTTTTCAACTAAGTTCAGAAATAGTTGAAGCAATTGATGCTATATGGCGTGATCAAATATCATCAGAACTTATGGATCAACAAAGTCATTTTTATTTGATGGATTCTGCACCTTAGTTAGTATATGATATAGTCAAATTCTATTAATTGGACTCATTTATTTATGTTTCTTTATATAATTATATTCGCAATTATATAATTATAGTTTTTTTGATGAAGTAAGGCGGATTGGAGCTCATGGTTATATTCCAGTTGAAGCAGACGTTCTGCGCGCAAGAACTAAAACCACAGGAATATCAGAAACAAGATTTAATATGGGTCAATTAAGCATACAGTATGTTATCTTTTTTTTTTATAAATAATAAATAAATAAAGACGACATGATCAATAACAGTATATTTACTAATTGCATATTATATAATTGATTAACAACTTTATTTCAGCATGTTTGATGTAGGTGGTCAAAGATCAGAACGAAAAAAATGGATTCATTGCTTTGAAGCTGTTACATCAATTATATTTTGTGTAGCTTTGAGTGAATATGATCAGGTTTTGCTGGAAGAAAATGGCCAGGTGATAGATTTTAATCAATACTTCCAAATTTTACTGACAACTTTATTTATAGCTTATCAAAATAATCTTTTTTTTTTTTTGTTATTATAGAATCGTATGATAGAAAGTCTTATATTATTTGAGTCAGTTATCAATAGCCGGTGGTTTTTACGAACTTCAATTATCTTGTTTCTTAACAAAATTGATCTGTTCAGAAGAAAACTACCGAGAGTACCTCTTGAAAGATATTTTTCCGAGTATTCTGGTAATCATTTATTAAAAGACTTTTGATTAGTGATTATTCTTTAAGTTATTAAATTATAAATTTAAATTCGGTAGGGGGAGCTGATGTAAATAAAGCCGCAAAGTATATATTATGGAGATTTACACAAACCAATCGAGCCCGACTTAATATATATCCACAGTGAGTATTTTGCTTAATTATTACTTGTTAATTTATTCAGAATGATAATACTTATACCTTTTATTTTTGAAACTGATAACAGTCTTACACAGGCTACTGATACATCGAATGTAAGCGAATTATCATTATTTTATCGCAATATTTTTTTATAATACTAATATTTTCTTATTTTCTTTATAAATTTTAATTATAGATACGGTTCGTATTCATAAACAATATTTTTTATATTTACTTTATGAGAATTATATTAATTTTTATATTTTATTTTTAGACTTGTTTTTGCGGCCGTGAAAGAGACAATTTTGCAGAATGCATTGCGAGATAGCGGCATCCTATGATGAACGAAGTAAAATAATTGTATTTTTCTTTTTTTTTTGCATTTGCATTTGCATTTCCTTTTTTATTTTGTAATATGATTTATTTGTTGTATATTTCACATTAATTTGCGGGATGGTGGTGGCATTAATAAAGCCATTTGGATATTTTAATGATCATGCATTTTATTAAACTAAGTAAATGCAAATGATCTGGAATGTCTGAGAAAATATAAAACATAATTAAGCAAATAGGATATTTGGTTAATTCTTCAATAATTTTTTTCAATATTAATAATAAAATTTAAAATTATTTATATATATAACTAATTACTTTAATCAAATTTTTATTTTTTATTTTTATAAACATTCATATTAATAAAATATCTTATTACTTTCTATTTTTTTTTAAAAAAAATTAGTGAACCTGGGAAAAGTAGAAATCGATCGTCAAAGTTTAACTCCTTATACATAATAAAAATTAACTAATTTTTATTAAAATATATATATATATATATACAGTACACTATGATATGGTTTATAATTTTTATAATAAAATAATACTATGATTTATAAGTATTAATTTATTAATATAATATGATAAATAGATTTTAATAACTAAAAAAAAATTGTTTTTAAAATACAATTACATATAAAAATAATTAATAATTATAATTATTTTTGTTTTTTATTTAATTTAATTCTAAATTTATAATAATATTAAAAAATTATTATAATATATTATTAATATAGATTAAATAGTTGAAGAAATAATAAAATTAATACTTTAACTAAATAATAATTAAAATAAATTATAAAATATAAATGTTTATAAACATTATTTTTGATAATTTTAAGTTTTATATATTTGTAATTAAATTATTTATTAATAATAAATACTTTAATTAAACTTTTTTAAATTTAGTAATAAAATCAAAAGTTTTAAATTAAAAAAAATAAGTATTACATTTTTAAATTAGATTTTATCAAATAATATAAATTATAAATAGTTTATAATCTAAAAAAAAAATAAGTAAAAGATATAAATAATTTTTAAAATATTATTAAATAATGAATTATTATAAAACATAATAATAATAAATATTAATATTTTTATATAAATTTTATAATAAATTTAATAATTAAAATATAATTAATAATATCCTATATAAGTTTTTATCCCTTAAATAGTTTTCCTTTCAAATTTATACTTACTAATTAATTAAAGTTAGTTTTAAATATATTAAAAATTAGTCATCAAATAAATAATATTTTTAAAATAAAATTTATAATATTTTTATTTTTAAATAAAATCAAAAAAAATTTTTACATTAATTAGTAACTTTTTGCATTAATTTAAAATCAAAGTTTTGACTATTTTTAAAAAGTATTTTCTTTATAAAGCATTTTTAAAGTTAGACCTTAATATACTGATATAATATATAATAATATTTGCTTATATCGTTATTTCTTTTTCTTCTTATTTTACTATTAGTAAAAAAAACCTTGTTATCAATATCATATATTATTTCATGATATAACTATATTGATATTATTTTTTAATACCATATATATATTAAAAAATCTGATTTATATATCGATATATCAATATATTAACTATTTAAGATTAAATTAATTATCTGATTTTTATTTTTTTATTATTTTCTTTCAATAATATCAGATAAAAAGAAAAATGATTTAACAACTATTTTAATCAAGAAAATGAGTTACTTTAATAAAAGCACAAAAAAATATCAACTTTATTTGAACTTTCAAAAATATTACAGCAAATCCAAAAACAACTTGCTATTCAATATAATATTAAACAAAATACTGTTTCAGATGTTTTAAAAAATAAAGACTCATAGTTACTCATAAATATAAACTTAGAAGAAGGCAAAAAACAAAGGGACAGGTCTGTATAATTTTCACAAATAGAAAAACCTATAACATTATGGATTACAAATGAACTTAAAGTAGAACTTACTATTAATATGTGAAAAAACAGAATTTTTTGTCAAGTATTTTGAAACTAATAACTTTTTAGCTTCTAATAGATAGATTTCTAATTTTAAAAAATGTAATAATATAAGGGAATATACTAAATCAAAAGAGGTAGCAAGTATTTTGCTAGAATCTTTAGATGAGAAAAGATAAAAATTAAGTAAAATTATTAAGAAGTATAATTTGAACAATGTTTTTAATTATAATGAAACAGGTAAATTTCTTTATTTTTTAAAAAATTTAAATTTATACATATTAAATTTTCATTTATTTTAGATTTATATTGGGATCTTAAACTACCAAAAATATTAGCAAAAAGATCACTTTATGGAAAAAAAATAAAAAAAAAGTTATTATTCTTTTTATATGTAATGCAATTAGATCAAAAAAATTAAAGCCATTTTTTTATTTATACTTATCAAAATTCACAATCATTAAAAAATAAGAAAAAAAGAATTATAGTTAACTATTATTGGAATTTAATTGTATAGATGTAGGTTTCTATATAAAATAAATTTCTTAAAAAATTGAATATATAAAT